GCCTCTGGAGAGTTTTTGGGTTGGATTTCTGTTTCTTCAGCGGTTCGATGATTTCTGTCAGTTCGATCGATAGGTGAAACTACTAAAAGAATGTTGTCCTTGATTTCAGCATTTTGTGAGATGGAGAAAGTGATCAAATTTACAGTTTGCATTGCCCTGAAAAAATCTGAGGAAGAAGAACTCATGTTCTCATTCCAAATATTTACTTTTCATATTGTGCATTTAGATTTTTCTCTGTGCTTTTCCTCCAGGTTGTTTCGGTGTTAGAAGGTGTGCTGTCTAAATTGTCAAGATACGATGAAGGCACTTTCTTCTCATCATTAGTTTCATTCACTGTAAGTATTTGGATTCACAATCGTTCTGTTCTTCTTTCTGTGCATAATTCTGAAATTGTGCACAACCTGCACAATAAGCACTTACTGTGTTTTGTTTTATTTTTAATTTTCTAAAGGTGAAAGCAGCTGCAAAATATGTTGATGTTCCCGTAAGTATAGCCCTTTTATTTTTTTCTAGTGTTCATAATAATTCAAAAAATAGGGGGTTTGTTAGCTCACATTTTTTATTGTTGACATTTTGCTTTCCTACAGAGATTCATTATAGCTTTACACAGAATATTTAAACAGCCACCACAACCCTCAGAGGGCATTTCATTTCCCTCGGGCAACGAGTAACTCTCAAAGCAAAGCTTAGGAAGGTTAATCTCAATGCACTTTTTCAGTTGTGGAAGAGTGAGGATTGTAACTTAGATACTCTTTTGTAGCGGTCTTTCCATCATTTGGGTAAATTGTTCAACTGTACAGGATAAGCAACAAGTACGAATGTCATACCTGAATATCCATTATTTATTGATTACTTCAGGACCCAATATTGCTTATTTAATCCCTTGCTTGCGAAATCTCTGTTTGATTTACCATTGCTTAAGCAATGTGTGTGTGATATAAAAAAAAAAAAAAACAAACCCAAAACCAAAAAAGGGTAACTTGCAGCTTTTTTATACATAAAAGCAAAATTCAGCTATGAGAACATTTTGATTAGAGTATCACAGTGGAATATCTTTTCTTCAAAAAAGCAAGGAAGAAGTTATCAAATATAGTCATTATCAGTGTCATTAAATATCCTTTGTTCTCTCACAAGTCTGTGTTCTCATCCCTTTTTAATGTGATTCTAAAACAATCTTATTTTCCAACCATAGCAAAAAAATAACTAAAATTGTTACGTTAATGACCTCACAAGAAATAAAATTACAAATATAGAAGAATGCTGGACATGCTAGACTGTGTGGTGGCCAGAAATCCTTTCAGCAGTTCTATACTTAAAAATTTAATACTCGCAAGCTTAAATTAATCATTTTTTTAAATCCATGCATACTGAATATAAGGAAAAATATCTATTTCTGGAATTTGGTTTTTTGCTATCTTTGTATTTGCTTTATTCATAAGATAACAAATTGTAACATTTCTGTTCAGATGATGTTTTCAGAATTTTTTTCTTATTTGGTTATGTGTGGACATTTTGTTGAATTGTATAAACTTTCTTGTGTTTTATAAAAAAGAAAAAAAAGTAGGCTCAATCTTGCATACAAAAGAATAACCTCATATCAAATCCAGTTAATTTAGAATACCTCTTGTTAATATATTGTGCTGTGGAGCTGCCCCGAAAGGTCCTTGGTGAGGCCCTTAAGACTCAAAACCCTAAAGAAGAAAGTACTGAACAAACTAGAAATTCATTGACTTCTTTCAGGTAACAAGAAAACCTTTCCAAATTTCATAGGATATCTGTGAGAAGGAGATGTCAAAGTTTTTTACCATTGGCCTGGATACGCTAACATTGAAGTTGATGATAAAGATGAGACTGAAAAATACCTTTGCCATAAGCTGAGGGGAATAACGTGACTCAGGTCCCAGGGGGATGCAGTGCTCCAGGGCGAGGGGACGGCAGCGCGGGGACGTGGTTGCTGAAGCCCCATTGCCTTTCTCTCATTCACTGAATGGTGTTGCTTGGCCTGAAGAGATGACCAGGTTACAGACAGGCTAGCAGGATCCTTACATTTTTAAATCCCCATTGTTTTTCAGCTATCCCACACACCTTTCCGACAGCCCAAGGTGTGAACTGGACTACAGTACTACAGTTGTAAACTACAGGTGTAAACTGTACTTCAGGGAGGCTGTGGATCTGACCAGGCAAACGTTTTCCAAATTCTGGAAGACATTTTACCTGGGTTGAAGGAGTTTGATAGGCTGAGGTTTGGTTTTGCTTCTTCACATTCTTCCCCGTGCTGTGAAGATGTAGTCGAGGACAAGAAAAACCGTTACTGTCACAACTGACAGCGAGCGTCTGGTCTGAACAGGGTCTAAAGTCACCGGTTGTGGAAGTTACAAATTCCAACTGCAAAAGGAGGCTGTAAGTCGTCACATTACAAGGTCATCTCCTGGGCGCACAACTGAAGTGAGAAGTGGAGAGGGGGGTGGCACTGGGTGAGGAATTTACGCTGGGCTCTTGGTGGTGTGATGGTAACCTAGCAAGCCTGCACTGGAGCTAATTAAATGCCTCGCATGGCTGTATTTTGAACTGATATGGTTTAAAATCTCTTCTTGTCCCTCCTTACCATATAGCTGCCTATGTAGAAGTGACTTAAAGGTGACCACAGTAAGCCCTTTCTTTTGATATAGTTTCAAATATGTGCAAAATTGTACTTTGTTAGGTGGCCGCATTCTGTCCCCGTGCCCCACCTCCGTTCGAGGATCTCGCTGGGTCACCTCAGCCCTGTCCTTGGGGTCCCTGAAATAGAGCTGTTGGATCGCTTGGCGGATCTGGGGGAGAAGGAGGTTGGGGGGGGCGAAAGGCCTTTGGAGGTGTTTTTGAGTGTGTGAATTCAACAGAGTTTTTGATCTTTGATTACCAGGCTCAATATTTGGCAAAGAGGGAAAAATATGCTGGTTTATAGTGAAATAAGAAGAAACTAACTAGGCAAAAGAGATCTTAGGAGAAAATGAAGGTAGTACTGAGCAGAATGTTTTAGAGAGATGATGAGACGTAAAGGGGATAAAAAAGTTGAAAGGTGAATAAAAATAGAAATAATAAAAGATTCAAAAAGGAGGAAGACATTCTTGGGTAATTATTGGTCATTTTGAGGAAAAGGTTAATTCTGTTACTATTGAGTGAGGATTTAGACATTAAATAGTCGGGCAGGGAGATGCACACCCCCCAGAAGGCGTCCCTTAGCTTCTCAGGGCCAGGGTGGGAAATGCAGACACAGACTTGCAGTTCATTTGGCAGATATGTTTGTAAAAATGTTGCTATCTAGCCTTCCCTTCATTTATCTTGCCAGAGAATTACAAATAACTCCATCCAAAAAAAAAAAGAGTTTCACCTTTTTTTTTTTTAACCTGTTTAAAAAAACATTCAACATAAACCTCCGTTTTTCAGCATGCCCTTTATGAAGCGGGACGTTTGCAGTCACAGGGAGCTCCCATTGCTTTCCCCAGCCATCGCGTATAGGGCTATATGGACACTGAGTATGTTTTGGTAATCGAAACACCAACGGAAATACTAGGAACAGTGCAAAATAACCCAGACTAAGAAGAGTAACAACAGTGATGACTTACGATTTCCTAAAAATAATAATGAAAAAATCTAGTTGCTATTATGCTCTTTTTGTTGGTAATTGTCACAGTAAGCGAGGCTCTGAAGTGAAAGAAATTGTGGCTGCTGTGCACATGAAAGAAACCAAATGTTTGGAGGAAAATAACACAAACATTACAAATATTAGTAGCGCATGAAGGATGCAATTTGTTCTCTTGTTAATGCTATGTTTTGATGTTTGGGAATGCAGGAGCTGATTTAGGTTACTCTTTTTTTTTAAAACAACTCACCCAAATCCACTATAAGTCTGTGTTAGTTTCTCTCAAAGCCCAAGCAATCCTTCAGAGATGTAGAAATACAACCTAATTTTTTTCTTTTTTTTTTTTCAATATTCTGTTCAAAAAGCCAGTTAATTAATGAGAA